GCGTTAGGTACCACGACCTTGGAAGGAACTTCTGATGTTTAGTGATACTTTTAGAGGTAAGAACTAGTCTTGATGGTATTACTAATGTTTTGTTTGAAAGAAGTTTTGAAGGCCTCAATAATGATCAAATATCAGAGTGGAATTCTTGCCTTGATATAAGACATTATCGATGATTGAAGGAACCTATCAACTACCTTCAAAGGAAACAAAGATCAGAGTACGTAGCAAATACAATTTAGTGCATCTTGGACTTCATCAACATATAATCACCACTCTTCATGGAATTCATTCCTATAAAGAAAAGTAATGTTACGGACATACATATTTATCTTGATAATTATCTAGATAATAAGAATAGGTAGAAGTAAGTCAAAATAGATAAATATGATAATATCTTAAAAAAAGCTTCCTAGAAGCTTTATAGATTCTGTTTTGCCTTTATACATGTCTATAGGTGATTGGTTGGTTAAAAACTTGGCCAACAAAGAAGCCACGTGTCAACATGTTGACCACTTGTAGTATAAATTGGACATATAGGACACACCTAGGAAACTTGCTTTGCAAATTAGACATGTGTCTTGTAAGTTGGACGCGTATTACAGGTCCTATAGCATGTCGCCATACATTTCTTAGTTAAGTAGTATATATAGATGAAAGAGTGAGGCTTTTTTTTGCTTTAATCAATTCTTTTCTTTCTTTTAGTGTAGTTTCAAGAGTCTTATGTTTTCTAGTATTTGAGAATAGCCATTTCAATTCTTTTTTGAATATACATACTTTTTTTCTATTTTTTCACTTTATTTTTGATATAGATTCTATGAGTTTATGTACCTTCTTTTAGATTGTGTCCTTGATATCTAATCTTCCATATTTTATGACTGAAGGTATTTCATATCTAAGCCAAATCACTTTTTAGATCAACATGAACTATTACCACTACTAGTTGTTGTTGATGACTAATAAGACTATTAAATGGACAATATTTTGAAATATCATTATCTTCACCATAATAGTAGACGTCCATAACTTTAGTACCTAATTCTTTGAAAAAATTATTCCATTTATGATGCATTATGGGAACCTATACAAAATTTCATTCATTGCCAAGAGATAATTTGGTGATATTATTGGAAGCAAAATGAGGATGTTTTGCATCAGTAGAGAGGGATTAACTTTCACAAGATATAGATAAGATATTTATATAAGAATAGATAGTTAGAACCATGGAAGTTTTTAGAATTAGGGTTCGGTTAATGAACCAAGTAAGAGCCACCGTAAAATATTTTAAAAAGAATGTAGGGCGGTTATTTAGATACGGCCTATCATAGAACCTTCTAAAAAAATCTCAAGATAGTTATCTAAATAGGATCCACTATCTAGGAATATTTTAAAAAGTTTAGGATGGTAGAATAAAGTATAAATAGGACTGGCTAGGGCCTTTTGGGACATTTGGTTAGCTATGGCTTTGGACCCTTTCTCTTAATACAATTAGATTTTGTAACTTCCTATTTTGTTCTATTCTGTCATAATTCTGGTTGCTTAGTTTTGTCTTCCATATCCCATTCTGTTTAGTTTTGTTTAGTTTTGTTTTGGTCTAATTTGTCTTCTCTTGTGATAAAATTTTATATTGTTGTGGATCAAAAGGGTCTTCGATACTTAAGATAGACCGGTCCTATTTCAATTACTAACTATTTGCTGATAAATTAGATTTTTCATAAGCTTAAAGAAAATCCATAATCTTGTTATAAAAAATCCAAGTTTATATTATAATTTTTTTATATCACTATATCTCTATCTTTCGCATATATATGAAGTCTTGGCTTCCAAAAATTCCTTTACTTTGTATAAAATGCCTAAATTGTAGCAAAATCCTTTCAAGTTATTATTCTTTTGTAAAAGATATTTTTCTTTTTAAACTTTAGAAATTCATATTTCTAAATTCAAATATTTAATTTTTTAAAAATTTCTAAATAATATAGAATTTATCCTTAATTTTTATCACAAAAAAAATAAACCATAAATCTACTTTTGATCATTTGGTACCTTAGAAACCCTAGCAAGTATTCTAAATTCTAATTTACAAGCACTTAAGTATTACTTTCTCCATATTTCAAAAATATAAATTCTAAATGCTAAAAAAATTATATTTAAACTTTAGTAACATGATAATACATATTCTTAGAAATTTTGAGCTAAAATTTTTCAAATTGCTTAAGATATAGCTCAAAATACAACTACTAGTAAATCAAATCTTTTAGATTGCAAGCATGATTTGATTTACTAGTGGTTGTATTTTAGATTGCAAGCATTGACTTCAACTTCTTATATTTCTTTCATCTTAGCTTTGAATTCATCAAGTAGTATATGAAAAGTATAGTAAAAAAAGTGTTCTCTCTAATCCTAGTCATTCATCCTTCATTGCTTCTTATACACGTGCATTATGTCCAAAAGAGTGCTAGTAGGTACAAAACCAACATCTTAACTTTGAGTGCCTATATCTCTTTTATTAAAACTCTAAATCATACAAAATTTATATCAAAACTGTAGCAAAAAATCTAAACTTAATGACCTTAAATTTTGATGTTTGAATGGCCTCAAAATAATAAGATCTTAAGCAACCTTCTTGAAGTCCATTGGACATGAATTTTGGCCAATAAGAATAGAGACTTTCATCATCTATCTCCATTAATCCATATGATTGGCTTAACTGCTCTTTATTATACAAAATTCTTTTCTAATTCTTTTTCCAATAAGTATTGCATAGTATGTATCCTAAACACCAAACAAAAAACACACAAGATTTCAAGAGTCACCAATGTCTAATAAAGGTGGCTCTAAATATATAAAAACTATTATCAATATAAAATCAACCTCAATAATAGCCCTTTTAAACTAATCACTTCAAAGTAGTAATCTAATTACATTTTGTAATCAACTAAAATCTAATAATATGGCTTTTACTACATTTTATAGTAAATTCATAGTCAAGCTTCTTACAAAACAAGCATCGCATTGATAGATCTTCATTGGTGTTTTCATGTCATGGGTTTTGACATAAGGCCAAACTTCACTTTCTACAAAGGATTTTTAAAGAGTTTGCAATTCTTCCACCATAGTGAATTTGATGTCCATACCTTAATATGATATTGTGATTGTAGATTAATATTATTTTACATGGATTACATCATGTAATAATTTATTATGTATGTTCTTGCTTGAGAATGCATTAGGCACGTAGTTGTGGAAGATAAGTAAAAATATAATAAAAAAATCCTACCAAGCTTAATAAAATCTTAAATAAATTCCAAATAATCTTTAACAATCTTAATCAAACTTTAACCAATCTAAAAGGAATTTAAAAGAAGTTATAAAAGAAATATAAAAAGATGATAAATAAATTTTAAAGAAAAATAATTAAAAAATCCTAAAAAAAGATAAAAATAAAATCTTTATGAATCCTAACCAAATCTTAGATCAAATCCTAATAAAATCCTAACCAAATCCTATACCAAATTCTAAATCTTAAATGAATTTTTAACAAATCTTATAGCAAATTGAAGTTTCAATAATTAATGATTAAATAGTTGATTTATACTCAAAATTTGCATACTCTTTAATAACTAAGTTGGCAAGAAGCATAAAAAATTTGAAGAAGATCAAACATATCAAATAAAAGATAATTCTTAAAATCCAATCAAATTTTGGCTAGCCTTTTTCTCCAACCTTCATATTGATATTTCAAAGCCAAAAACTCTTAATTTCACAATTCAATAGATTTCAAACTTTGTGCAATTTTTGGAAGTCAAATTTACTACTTATGCACAAAATTTTATTTCAATCCAATTAATAAATTAATATATATCTTAAAAATCCTCACTAATCTTTTACATCCTAATTTTCAAGACCTCAATATGTTTGAATTTCAATAAACTTTGAACAAACTGTTAGATCACACTCAAATTTACAACATAGATTAAACAAAATAATTATAATTTAATCACAAAATTCATCCATAGATTCCTTATAAATTTTAGACAAATGTCCAAAGTACAAATTCTTTGAATTTCTCAAAATTCAAAGTCACTTGAAAACAATCCTATCTTTGTAAAGTCTTTACAAAGTCATTATACTCTCAAATCACTTGAAACCAATGCCTTAAGAACCTCTCTCTTGTTTGCTTTGAAACCTTGCTATCCAATCAACTAAGGAATCTTAGAATTATGGTAGGTACGTAGTTTTATTCCTCAAGGTCTAATTTTCACCCTAGTTTATAACCAATCTTCTTTGGATATGAATTCTTGGTAATTTGAGATAATTTTTGCTTTAACCTACTATTGACTCTCTCCTAAAAATGCATATATCAATTTCTTATCTCATTTACTATGATTTGGCTCATTTATCTTCTACAAAGTAAATAGAAATTTTTCTACAAAAAGGGAATATAAGACTAAAGTTTCTACTACTATCCTATTATTATTATTATTATTATTTTTTTTTTTTTTACTATATCTTTCTACTAGGCTCTTCTATAATAACATCATATTTTTATTTTTCACCATATAGTTGTGTTACTACATGATAGCAATACCTCCTCCAATCGTATAGAGGAATACTGTTGGAGCCTTAGTTTAGGGCATTTGACTAAGCCTATTCGAAAAAATTAGGGTTTTTTTTTAAAGAAAAGCCCTAATTTTAAGAGGCATGGTTATAACATCAAATATAATTTTTAATATTTTAAGTTCATAAAGCATGTAGAAATGAATGTTAAGTAATTTTTTTTTATACAAAAGTTTGCTACTTTATTACAGAAGGTCAATTTACATAAGAAAATATCACTGTATCACCTCTTAGCTTTATTTATTTATTTATTTACTTTCACCAGATTATTGTTGATACGTACATTCATATGACTCCAACTCTGCAGTGTGAAAGGAGATTGTGAGACAGAACATTGATTATGGATCGTGAACTCTTTCCACACCACAGGGAAGTCGTCTCTCTGGAAGCAAGACGAAGACCATATTGTGTTTTTGCAGGCTCCCGTCGCAAGTATGCACAGGCAGCCCTCTTTGCTTGCGCGGATCGCATCACTCTTTGCTTTGACAAGACTGCGCGGAGCGTCATGGTGGAGGTCTTAGTGAATTTCTATGCGAGCTTTAGTGTAATCTTGCTGCTGGGATTGGTTGATGTATGAGTGGGACACCTCTAGGCGTAGCAAGGGTGGAGAGAGAAGCAGAAGAAGGTCGCCATGTCCGTGAGGAGGACGTCAGCGCGGTGTCCCATTGACACGGAAGCGCAGGAAGGGTGCGGGATACCATGGGGAGCCACGGTGCAGCCGTTCGCTGCAACGGATGAGCTCGGGCGGTCTCCTGAGGAGTGCGAGCGCGGTCAGGCGCTGCCGCGATGCGACAACTGCTATGCATATCTCAACTCGTTGTGTGAAATCGACAAGTGGGCCTGGACGTGTGTGCTTTGTGGCCAGTTGATTGGATTCACTGAGGAGGAGTTTGCGCGGTATCAATCGGCATCGTCCCCGCGTCCGGAGGTTTTGTCGTCGCTTGTTGACGTAGAGCTTGATGATGGTAAGCTGCACTGGCAATGTGGAGGCGTAATTTGTCCATTTGAACGCGTTTACTGATTTAGATCTTTCTCTTCGAAAGATATAGTAACCTTTTTGCGACTCCTTGCCAGAGTTAATTTTAATCGTGATTTGGTTTTGGCTATCTAGAAACTTTAAGCTGCAGAAAAATCAATGACTAAGCTAGGGTTGCGGAATTCGATTTTTTTTGTTTTTTTGTCAATCTTTCTGAATTGACCTTGTTCACCTTTCGCGGGGCTTATTCATTTATACACAGTGTCAATGCTATGGTTGCACAAATCCAACACATTGTGACAAAGCAGTTAAAGAATTTGCTTCTGTATTTCTGTTATACATGCATAAGGTGACATACAGCTTCACGTCACATGTGCTAACTAATTTTCTCAACCAGATGAGGAAGACAATGTAGCGGCCAATTTTCAAGCCAGGCCTGTCTTCGTAGCAGCAGTGGATCTCTCAGGTAATCAGCATGCCCATGTGTATCCCGTTAAGTGCTTGCGATTTGCATCGCCGTTAGTGTTAGCGCTGTCATACTCTCTGTATTCTGAGATAAAATTTGGTGCATATTGAAGGCGATTTTCAAATTATTTCAGTAGGTGATATTTCATTTTATTTCCTGGGCGTATTTGTGAGTGGACCTTGTCGTCTTTACGCGCGGATTGTTAACCGCGTAAGGTTAATGGTTTGAACTATTGTACGCGCACCTCTGACAGACTCTAAATCCTGCAGCTTCTGAAGAGTTCTTAGAGCTAGTGAAGAGTTCCCTCCTTGCGGCTCTTGAAGGTTCTACCTTTCTCTTTGTCATCTTGTACTTTCTTTAATGAAATGCAAGGTCTATAGACTGTATATATGCTATGTTGGTAGCCATATTAAATGAAGTAAAGTGTAAACTACGTTGTATCAGCTCTCGAGAATACTGAAGTAGAATTTTTTATATGTCGCAGCCTTAAATGCAGGTGCGTTGTTCGGGTTGATTACCTTTAGCCACAAAATAGGGCTGTACGATTTGCAAGGTCCCATTCCAGTTGTGAAGTATGTTAGCATTCCTCCGGACATGGATGGGAAGCTTCCTGTTGATCTCGACATGGCCATGCCATTGTCTGCGTTTCTTGCTTCAGTAAGTTAACTTTACCCCTTTTTTCTCTTTGTTTAAGCTTTCACTACCTTTTGCTTACATTCATGATTCATTGTTATCGTGAGAAGGTATGGGCTTGTTCGGGTGAATCACATTAGGTTATCTGCACTTGGTAAGCGCATCTACGCACTAAAATGCCCAGGTTTGGGTACTTCGAGCTAGTAAGATGGTCCTTTGCAGCGCATAGGTCACCTATAAGTATGTATAATGGAATCGATTGTGAAGCTGTTACATATAAATGTGTTGTCCAGTGTTAAGACGATGTCTGCTTAGGTCCTGATTATTGCCGTTAAGGCACTGAGCAGCTTAGTTTCCTCATTGGAAATGTCGACTTCATACTAGTTTTCGCTTACGTTTGAAAAGGAATACAAAGTTACTTATAGCAACATTTCATGCAAATGTAAGGTGGAGAACAAGGAGCATATTGCTGCAGCACTAGAAACATTAAGACCTACAAGCTCTTGGGAGCGGGCAACAGCAGCAGGACAAGGTGTAGAAGGCGTATCCATGGGTGGTCGCGGATTTGGCGTTGCGATGGACGCTCTCATCAAGTATTTGGGACCTGAGTATGGGGTAACATTTGCAATGGGTACGGCCTGTTGATCGTGTTTGGTGTGTGAAGTATTCCTGAAGTTAACCTAAATCATGTAGAACTAAAAGGATGTATCTTTGGTTTTTCTGTTCTAAACAGTTACAGATTTATGCCTGCATGTATATGTAATCGCCTAACATGTTTCGTTAAGATAGGTCAGATAATGAACGAAGTTTTCTTCTGTTTGCCGCCTTGTGTGTACATTGCAGCACGAGTATTTGCGTTCTTATCCGGCCCGCCTGATTACGGCGCTGGACAGCTGGACACGAGACGTTACGGAGAGCAGTATTCTAGCAAGGGTGAGGACGCAGACAAGGCTCTTCTTCCCGCGCAAACTTCTTATTACAAAGATTTGGTTAGTGACATCAACCTGTTAGCTTCTACTTCAGTAAGGCATTTTGCTTGTTTTTTTAGGTGGAATTTCTGTATCCAGCTTAGTTGAAGTCTTAGTATTGAGACCATGAGGAATACTTAATTTCAGAAAGTGGATGATGCGGCAGTGGATTGTAGTGAGATCCATTGAGTTGCTTTAGCATTAAAAGGGAGAGCTGTTGTTCGCTTCAGGCCGCACAAGCAGTGCTAGCAGGTGTTTGCGTGGATCTGTTTGCTGTGACAAACGAATACACTGATTTGGCGTCACTCAAGTACTTAAACATAGAAAGCGGGGGCGGCCTGCTGCTATATTCAAGTACTGAAGAATCCACTCTTCCTCAAGACCTGTACGTTAATACTCCCTGCCTTGTCCCTTCGCATACAATTGAGAGTATTGATTGTTTCAACGGGGTGTTTGGATTGTTGAAAGCAATGGAATTAAGGTATAGTCACATCTTAGTGTGGGACAATTATCTAGGATTTAGTACTCTGTGAGCAGATTAGAGGTTTGACTCTTGGAGCCTCTACTTGCAGATACCGCATGCTTAGTAGGCCGTATGCTTTTGGATGTATACTGCGTGTTCGAACATCAACAGGGTTCAAGGCTGCTACTGTTGTAAGGACTTGAACCATTGATTATATCCAAGCAAATCTGCACTAGGCATTTCGTCCAATCTTTGCTTTGACATTTGACTAATCAATCTCGGAAATGGGATGCAGTATGGACATTATTTTCCAGATCCTGAATACGATAATGTGCAGCGCATTATCTGTTGTGATCAATTTGCAACATATGCAATTGATTTTGAATTTGATAGTTCGTCTGGCTTCACCAGGTGGAGACAGTCATCCTTAGTTCTTTGCAATCTTAGTTATTAGGAATGTGGTAGGAAGTTCATAAGTATGCTTTGCTTGAATTGTTGGTGATGAATTCTTTAGTTGAATGATGTTGAATTGAGTAGTTTGTATTTTTATCATATATTACTTCAGTTCTGCTCGTCAAGATCCACTATGTTAGTCCATTTGAAAGGGACCGTTGGATGTTTTTTTGAATTATGGATGCGGGCTTTCAGGAACATGGAATCGTCACCTGTTTTACAAATGGCTTTCCAATATTCCATTCTTGTGCCTCAAGGCGAAGATACCAATCAATCTCATGCAAATGGGAATTCCGGCAATGGTTCAGAATCATCCTACAGGTACTGAACTTCTGTCCATATCTTCAATATGAAGTTGGATATACAGGTAAGGAGTTTGTGTCATATGACACTAACATATTCATCACAACAAGTTTCAAGCATGTATAATGTAAATGGAGAGTTACCGAATCGGTTTGAGAATCATCTGCATTCCGCATGGTATCTGGTGTGCGCTATCATTCTGAATTAACTCCTCTTCAGTTGGATTAATGGGCGTGTATATGGAAGGTTTTCTTCATTTTATTATTATGTTATATTACATCGTATTATGTATTTTAAATCTCATATTTTATAATAAAAATTATAAGGTGATGCATTTATCACATAGCTCCAACAATCGCCTGTAGCTGTAAAACATTTAACAGTGAGTTCTCTGACATGCGCTTTTGTGTAATTCCAGTCACAGTTATGTCGTGAAGAGGCGCCTTAGAGTACGGACTTTGCAAATGGACATAGCTACCAATTTTATTGAATTATACGAGAGTGCAGACACTGAAGTCATCCTGACTGTCTTGACACATAAGGTACTTCTGTAGGTCTCAGGTCATGCATGTATATTGCAGCGTTTTTCTCATTAACGTGATCCTTCTGTGTTTAATTCATCGAGTTTTGCATGAAAGTCGATTCAAATTTGTGATTTTTTTATTATTATTTATTTACTTATTTTTGTTTCAATAATGTCCTATTTGTCGATATTCATTTTTCATATTTCTATGGTACTCTGAATCGTTACAGATTATTCGAGCATCCTTGGATGACGGTGTGAAGGAGGCCCGCGCTCTCTTACATGACTGGCTGGTCATTCTCACAGCACAATACAATGACTATTATAAGCTTGCCCAATTTGAACAGCCCAACACATATAGCAAGTTGGATGTGGCATTCTCAAGGTGCCCCCAACTGCAAGCCTTGCCTCGGCATGTCTTTGCACTTCTTCGGAGCCAATTGTTGAGAACTCACGAGGAAGGAGTACATCCTGACCACAGAATATATCTTCAATGCCTTTTCAGGTATATAATTTTTTGTGGAATACCCACTTGGCTTGTTTTGAGTTGACTTACAGACTCCCATCCACTGTTGTGAACGAACTTTGCTGTACGGTAGACGTGGATATAAGTTCTTGTTTTTGTTTTATGTAGGTTTTCTTTCAAACTCTGCTGGTGTTAATAGGATATAATTATTTAATATCGATATCAAATGAGGACGCTAACTTCATCTTTTTTCTTTTGTGTTACGGCAGCGCATTAGAGCCTTCCTTCCTCTTGAGAGCCGTGTATCCTGTGCTATCCTCCTTTGAGACACTAGACAAGCCAGCGTTTCCTCGTCATTTACTTAGTCGAGCAGCCTTAATCACCAGTGGCAGCCCCATCTTCTTTCTGGATGCCTTCACAACACTCATAGTCTATTACTCTGCAACTGCTGATCCAGCCTTGCCGTTCCCACCACCTCAAAACTGTAAGATTTCTTGAGGCTTATACTATTTAGGTGATTGCTTGAACTTATGTTCTCGCCCTAAAATTCAATTTCTTACCTGCAGCTAACGTACATTCATTGACCAGTTGTTTATCTTGGTTAAAACATGGACTGACATGAACATGCTATGACACCTTCCTATGTGGACTTATTCTCGCGATGGGATCAGGTGGATTACGCTCAATAATAAATAGACTGAAGCAAGAGAGGAACATTACTCCTAAGTTATTGATAATCAGAGGAGGTCATGACAATACCGACCCTTTTGACCGGTATCTAATAGAGGAGCAGGACGTGGATGGTAATGGGATAGCTACAGGCGTGGGATTTGTCGCATTCTTGGACCAAATTGCACATGATGTCATGAAGTATATGAAATAAATGCATCGTTGGTCATAATTTTCTATCTTCTGGGGACAGTTTTGGAGCATGAACGCAGTACATGTGTTTTTTTTAGTAATCAACTGTGAGGATGTTAAGCTTGAATTTGGATCATAATTGTTTCCAATCACATGGATTGTTAACACTTATTATCTAGTAACTTCAAACCTGGTGACTGTGTGCCACTAAAGATTTGTTGTTGCTACACTACCACGTACAGTATTGATAAGTAGGGCAGTTAGGGTTGTCATTGTTCTGCTTTTGAGTACATTGTTATTAGGTCTACTGATCATCACATTTGTTTGTGCTAAAATATGTATTTACTTTGACTAAAGAGTAATTATTAAGTAGAAATGATTAGATTTAGAATAAGTTAAGAAATTGTTAAAACACAATTTGATTTATGCGACTATATTCATTGTGATAGGTACATTGTCCACGAAGAGAAGCCAGGGTACTAGATCAGATCTGACAAGTATTGTAAAACGATGCAGTGAATAATTAGTCGGTGTTATTTGACAGCAAACTTTTGATCCAAATGGTGTATTGAGGATATCGGAATATCAAATAAAGGTCTATTTCAGGGCGGGTGGTAGTGTATTCGCGAAAAGGATACTGTTGCGATGATTTCGAAGGTACTAAATTCAAATAGTTTCAAGAAGTCGCAAGCATAATTGCGAGACAATGATAAATGAAGATGAAGCATCTGAACATTAGGACATAGTTGTTGAAGGTGTACAATATTCAGGGTTGGTCCGCACGGAACCATAACTCTACTGCTCCCGCCTGCACGATTCACCCGCAGTCTTTCTTAACAAAATTACAGGAAATAAGGCCTCGGCATTGATCTGGGATAGGGTGCCGGATCCTATTTAGACGACCTTCGGGTGTTCTGCTACCTTCTCCTTGTCATCACCCTTGTTGAAGTGCTGGTATGCTTGATACCCGGCAAATCCAAGGATGCCGGCACCAGCCACACCCGCAGCCACTTCGGCCATGAGCACCTTGCGACGATGCTCTCTCTCCTCGTCAGAGATATCGGTCCTGTGCTTCAGATCCTGGATCTGCACAAGAAATGATGTTTGAACAAAATTGAGCACAAGATTCGTACTAGAAGCGAAATGGCAGTACTTGGCACCAGCATAGTTCACAGTTCGCTTCTACCTCGTGAATTTTTAACATTATCAACTTTTTGAAGATATAGACGCGAGGACAGCACAGGCCACTGTATAAGTGGATATTTTACAACTAACCCCGGAAGCTTGTAACTAAGCTCATCTGGCACCTTAACAATCGCTTATCAGCTATTCCCAATGTGTAAACAAATCAATGATTATCCCTCGTTCTGATACATTTCAAGAGTAACCCTTCCTTGGATCGATTTCGAACGCAGCAATCATCAACAGAAATATCAACTACGCACAAGTCAAGACCATCCAAGGCAAACCAACAAACAGAACCCAACTTAATCCAAATGCACTCAGAGGAAAGTAGAACATACATCTTCCTTCTTAAGCTTGCCGCTATAGTCATGGCCATGGTCAGACCCGTGATGCCCAGGGATCATCCCAGAGATCGCGGAGCCAATCGACCCACTTCCATGGTGCCCAGACTCGTGCTTGTCTTTCTTATCGTGCTTGTCCTTCTTGTCGTGCTTGTCCTCCTTGTCATGCTTGTCCTTCTTATCGTGCTTGTCCTTCTTATCGTGCTTGTCCTTCTTGTCGTGCTTGTCCTTTTTATCCTTCTTGTGCTTCTTCTCGTCCTCGGAACCAGACTCGGAGCCTGACTTGTTGCCACCCATAGCTATACAATTCAACTACAAAATAAACTCCGCGATCTACTGGAAAACAAGGACCCAAAATATACAGTGAGGTGAGCTGAGGAGCACTGTGATGAACTTCGCTGCGTAGCAAGACCTTATAGAGCCCGCGGCGGTTCGGAGGAGGTTCGGGATTGGTTGGGGATCGAGGTAGGGGCGACACGTTTGGCGCCGCTAAGCACGGGCCGATGGGATATTAAGCGCGGGAGAAGGTAATAACGGGCGTGCCACGCTGGCACTGAAGGGTTCCGACTTGGCCCCCGCCAGATATTTCCTGGTCGAATATTCGTTCCCGGCATGGGTACTTTCCGGGTTGGAATCCCTTTCTGTGGACTTTCTGTTTTCCGATTTCTATTTATCTATTTGAAGCCTAATTATCTACTTAAGTCTTCTGGAGTTTTAAGTTCCTCCCAATCCTAAACCTTGAATGTACAACAGAATTCTAAATCTCAAGCAATGTCAAACTTTTGTCATGCGGTTTTTGTGTGAAGAAGCAAATGTGGTGGTTACTGAAACTTCATTGCTCTGTTATTGTCATTCTCACTACTTCCATAAACAATATCTACGGCTGCCGTAACAACTTCGGGTTGTTTTTTTTGCATGTTGAAGATATTGTATAGCAATAGGGAATCAGAACGTATACAAATATAACATTCAATCTTTCCAACTTGTTCGTATTTTGTATGTAACAAACCACAGTGGAATGCAGCATCAATCCATTCGACATTTAATCATCTACGCATTAAGATTTTCACTCTCATGTGAGACAAGTTTCAGCTTTTTCAACTCACATTGCTAACTTGTATGCAAATCGGCCAGTTGGAAAAGGCAGGATAAGATCCACTTGTTTAGTGTCCGCAGGCAGTGCGATTTACGGTTCAGCTGCAGTGGAGATCTGGCTGCAACCAAACGCTGAGAATTAACCTCTCTCCCCTGATGAATGCGTCGAATCAAAGACTACGAAGGCAGCCGTTTGGAAATACAGGATTTAGTGAGGCCCTTATCCAAATCATTGGCGCGAAACGAGGTTAACCTTGCTCTCAGGGCGCATTCTTCAACTCCTGGAACGGAGTGAATGAGTCATGAGGGGGGGGGGGAGGGGGGGGGGCACGGACTCCTTGCCCCTGATCTCGAGCAAGCTGCTTGTGTGGCCATGGCGAAGCTTCTCAACTGCAACGCTAATTGTCCAATTACGAACCAACCCAAATTAATCACTCCCCTAGTTGCGAACTCGCATGGCACAGTTGCTCGATGCGTGTGCACAGTGGCGACTGAAGGCAGGGTGGACGAACGAATCGGACTGCCAGAGAAAGCGGCAATGGACTGTGGGCAGGATGCATACTCGGTTTCAGGGCCAACACGAGCGACACAGTGACCCTACCACTAGAAAAGCGCTTTGCACCGACTCGGCAAATCTTAAAAAGGAGGCTAGGTTTGGGAGTATGTTGACCGAAGCACAGGTTTGGGAGTAATTTTTCAAAATCTTATCGGCTTCTACGTACTTTCGACGCGAACGGCGCCGACCACTAATATAATGGATGGGAATACTCCTTATGAGTTCGTGCGTTCATAATTCATCCATATTTGCTATGCATTGTTCGGAAAAGGTGTCCAGAAATTTTATCAGAATTACATTAAATAGACGATAATTAGAAAGAATACTATTCAATAGATGGGGATCTAAAAGAACTAGTAAATACTTACAGGCCCATGTTGATTCTCACACCACAAGAAAAACATGTTAGATTTGCTGCAGCCACTTTTAATCCATGTAGAATTACAACAATTTCTTAGAGAGGAATTGATCCCTTCACAAGATTGATAGATTATGCCAGAACCTTCCTAAGCCCTAAGTTCCAAAATCATTGCATCTTATAATACTCTTGTGAGTACTTTTAATGCCAATAGGTGTATTACCAAATTTTTATTCTAGTTTAGTGGTAGATATATCGAGGATGATGAATAGAAGAGTTGTTTTTCAATTACTAAGAGTGGCTAATAATAATGCAATGAGATACGAATCAATTGCAGCAACATTAGAATAAATGAAAATCAAAATAATTATGGCCTCATAGTACTAGGCAATTGTATTAGTATTCATAAATTTGTATGCCCTGGATATATCTGGTCCCAAATGTAGAATAATCAACATGCTCAATTTTTGTGAACTGTCAAAGTGGGAGCTTTAAGAGATTACCACTGATAAATTTGAAAACCGTGAACTACTGAACACAGTTTAACAATTCCTTAGAAACTTAAAAAACATTCGACTAAAATGCAATTGGGTCATTAGTCCCCACACGGTTCATTGAATTTTTTTAAGTAAAATTATGTCGTTAGGGTGATACAACACACACGTACGTTTGGTCCATAACACTTCACAGTTTTTGATGGTCAAAGCATAATCACTTTAGAAAATAGACTTTTGTGGAAGAAGGTGCCATCCGACACTTATCGAATGCTTCATGATCAACTACTCTACCCAAAAGCTGGAATTTGTCAAAGTTTACAATACTCAAGAAGCAAATTAAAAACCAAATCACATCACAAAACGGGATATATTTGTGACTTTAACTTGCTAGCTGGAGAGTGCACTGTGTCAACAACGAATCACAGCGAAGCAGGTGAGACAAGAAAGAAGCTGGTCTCACACACATGTATATATATATACTGTCTTCAATATTCCTGTATTGAATATACCTGAAGTCCCACCTTCATGGATATTCCTGAATACTCATGAAAATTCATTCAAGTCCCTGTGGTGGCATGTGCCATATTGCGCAATGAAGCACAGACTACGGGCATCTAACACACACTGCGTCACAATCAATAAGCTGAGTAAAGCCCAGCTGTCTGCACCATACACCTTCGCTTCCTTCAAACTCAAGGACTGAAGCAGTAGTACTACTCGGAGGAAAACCATCCACTTAAGCAAACACGACTTGAAACGTTGAGAAACGTCATGACCGGCTGTCCTCTAGAAAAGAAGAAACAACAAACGGAACGTTCTTAACTGATGCACTCACTCAGAATCAATCTTTAACTACACCTTCAAATCTTCCCATTTTCAAAAAATTGATGGACCCTCACATATTCTGCTGTTGTTCTAACCCACACAAACCGGTGACAAAATTCGGGTAGTTATTAGGTACTACTTCTAATGACACTATCAGCAGGAGCGATGATCAGCACCAACTGCCTCACGAAGCGATTTAAATCCATCCCGCTCCAAGCAAGCAGCTAACTCCGACTGCAATCACCAAAAGATAGTACCTCAATAAACATAAGATGGTGCGGATTGAAACAACTGATTCCATGACGTGCAGACCTTAAGAAAAGGCAATGCAACAGATATACAAGATATCAAAAGCTCACAACACACCTTAATCCGAGGCAAAATTGACGGCCCTTCGTAGGCAAAGGCAGTATAAAGCTGCACTAAACTCGCACCAGCTCGGATCTTCTTATACGCATCTTCACCGCTACAAGATTGCAACAGAAAGTAAAAGTTTTAGAAAACTAGCACTGGTGTTGTATTACTGAAATACTCTAGGAAATAGTTGGAAAGAATACTCAGCAAAAGATAATGTATTGACATAATAAAAATGTCATGTGCACAAAGTTAATTCTAAAGTAATGTTTATGCCACCTATCCATAACACCTATTACAAAAGATCACATAACATTGCAACAAACCCTACCTGCTAATGCCACCACAGCCCACTAGAGGAATTTTCCCCTGCTCACACAACACAACTATTTGTTAATTCTTTTAAACGAATTGCACTTCAAAGTAGCATTTAGTCTCTTAAATTAATAATCACAATACTAAAATTGTTTCTAGTTAGTTTATTTTCAACAAGACGAGAATCAATCAAAAAAAAGATTTAATAATAAAACAAGTAATTCACCATGTGTTCGTGCAGTACTAAAAACAGGGAACAGGAAAGTTACCTTTGTGAGTACATACATGTCGTGAAGGATCTCAGTAGACATACTAAACAGAGGCTTCCCACTGAGACCTCCGGTTTCTGTTGAATGCACCAAGCCAAGAACAGCGTCTGGCCTTGATACTGTTGTATTCGTTACTACCTGCAAACCAATTTTCCAGCTTGGTCAAAGAAGATAACGAATTATGTTACTGGATCATGCATAACTAAACTGTGTATACGCCCCTAGAAATTCAACTACAAAGAGGAACGTAGCCAAGCAATCGTCACATGGATGAAATTTCAACTGTACTTTATCGCTCAGCTTTTAAAAGGAAAAGAAAAATGACTAGTATGTGTGTGAAAAACTCTTACCAAGCCATCCAGTCTCAAAGCAAGCGCTACCTGAGAACAGCAAACAATAAAGGAAAGCAATATTGATTAGGACTTGCAGAACTATTTGACTTTTTACATACAGGTCATAGAGAAAGTGAGAAGTATCATAAACGAGTGGCGGATTTCTCGTACAAACATACGAAACAGCAAACAACAACCACGGGCAAAAGTTAATTTTACCGCTGCAATGTCAGCCAAGTCCTGCTTTGACAAATCAGGAGCAATTTTCACCAGTAACGGAGGCGGACCAGCCTCTCCCCACTGCATTTCATCTCGAGCAGCTAGAACCTGTAAGAGTATACTACCGAATCAGTTGTACTGTCAAAAGGAGATTACCTCGATACCGCCAGACAGATAATCAGAATACATAAAACTCACGTATCAGTACCTTTTTAATGAGGTCCTGAAGCTGTTTACGGCCTTGCAGTTTGCGCAGTCCTGGAGTGTTAGGAGAGGATATATTTATGACCTGCAAAAAATTTCCACCACGTCTGTACCATCAATGGCTTGATTTGTAATGACCTGTACTCATTATTCTGGATACAAGCAACTTACCTTATACGTAACGTACCAGGGTACTGCACCTACGGGGAATAAAAAAATCCAAGCTCTGAGATGTATCGACATAAAAAATCAACATCGCAGGTTAGTGGCTCGACAATAGCTTACCAGGTAATCAGCATATTGAGACAAGGTATGCACGCCTTGTACATAATCAGCTGCGGCATCTTCACTCGTCTTATTCTTTCCAAGATTTACACCTAATATCCCAGTCCCAGTATTCCCTGGTGCAAGTCGATTATCGGAACCAAATGGTTCTCGGGTGGTCTCTGCAAGTCTTCTCTTCCCATGCTGGGCTCCAAGCCGCTTCGCAACCGCAACAATCCCTTCACTGTTGAATCCATATCGATTGATGATTGCACTGCAGACACAAGGCAATTCCAAACATTAATGCTCGCTTCACAAAAAACCAAAAATCTCCTTAAAAAGGAGCAGAAAATATTCATGAATCCCCTCACTAAATCCAGAAACTTCGAATAATTCGAACAAAACCATGGCTGAAAGCCTAAGGAGTAATATCCTTGTGAGTGCAAAGATCTAGTTTAAGATCTTCGCAAAAGCCGCTTCCATCTCCTATTCTTAATAAGTGATCTACGATATCATTTGATACGAGAAAGAAAGCAGAAACATACATGCTTACCCCTGCTCTGGGATTCGAAATACACGAGGCCTTGGGTTGCCCTCCTGCGGAATTGGAGTTACTGATCCCACCTCAACGAATCCAAAGCCCAATCCCAATAATCCCTCAACTGCCTCAGCATTCTTATCAAAGCCAGCAGCGAGACCTACAGGATTTGAAAAAGTGCGACCCCACAAGGTGACTCCCAAGATGCTCGGATCAGGACGCATCTCCTTGGGAACCAATCCATGAGCTGCGGCCCAAATCGCTAATCTATGAGCATCCTCTGGCTCGAAAAATTTGAACAAAGGATTCAATAAACTGGCTCCTTGAAATGCCCAATTGCTGCACAAAGTAAGGGTCCAGGTATCATCAGTTGCAGTCCTCGTCTAAAGCGGTAGTTGTATAACAATCTATCGTCACTTCTGCCATAAAAGTTCCAAGAATTTACTAACCTGCGACAGATACACATTTATGCGTATGACGGCAGAAAATATTGAACCTGAGCAGCTTTTAGTCAATAGAAAAATACCTGATTGTAGCCTCATCAGAGGTGCCTACATAAGCTCCACCACCAATAATAGACCCGAGAACACTTCCTGTCAATAATCTTCGCTGCAAAATAAACCCAGGTTCACATTCAATGAGTAGAGCCTAGCTGTGTAATTCTATTAAATTTATTTTTCTTATTAAAAGACAAATAGGCAATGTAGAAATCCTCACAGCAGATCGAAGTCGAAAAAATGAGATCACGCTAGCAAGAAGCATTTGATATAAACCTAGGCCGATGAGATGACTGAATAAACTAGCTGGTAATAGTCACCCCTGATAATTAAGGGAGAGAAAATATAATTACTTGAATACTGAATACTTGAATTTTGGGCAAGGAGTTTTAGCCCAAATTAGCACCATACATAGACCTGCTGGACAACCGTGCGATCCCGAATCGACAAGGGTCTAAATTTTAAAAACACTTGGACGTATACAAAAACACTTAGACAATTCATGACTTTAAAAGACATTCACATGACCGACATGAAGATCGATCAATTTCGATCAAATCATCCAAACTCACGAATAAGAGAAGCAAAGTGGTAGAAAAATTAACAAGCTTACGGACAAGCGAGACAATATGAAGATGAAAACTAGCTTGAAAGCTGACAATACATCAAGGTGAAGGTTTTTCAGATAATTAGTTAGGGTTCAAAGTAAAACCCTAAACCCTCACACTTTGTCCATATCCTGAAAAATGGACATGTAACGAAAAGGAAGAAGAAATCACTCCTAAACAAAAAAAGAGGGCGAAATCATGTGAACCAGACCACGCATCGTAAAATGGCAAAACCCTCTACCACGACCCCACGAACTTTTCTCATAATCCGCGAGGATTAAACCCATAAAACGAACCGAAACTGCACAGACACAAAATCCCACCCATGTCGCAGAGACCACAAGATCTCCCACACTAACACCACCATTCCTTCGCGAACAGCGAGAAAAATTACCCATGTGAGCCGAGACTTCGGCGGCAGAATGCGACCCCCAGATTCAGAGGGAGTTTGAATAGGGGACGCGGTACTGTAACTCGAAATGCGGGACGAAAATTGCCACAACAGGCGACCTCTGCGCCATGGCTCCAACAACCCACCACCACCTCCACCTCCTCCTCCTAGTCCCCTTCTCCCCATCGCTTGATGCCTTGGATTGCCGTCTTCCTCAAAAGCAGTCGTTGCCCTCCAAAGCAGAGCTTGCCATCAGTCACGTGAGTGAGCAACTAGGCGAGTCTGGGATCATACCGTCCATGTTGCATCGCGGCGGCTGAGCTGCAAAGACGCCGCAGCATAAAACTTCAACTACCCCCCCCCCCCCCCCCGCTCCCCCTCCCTCCTCCGCAGCTTCCCGTGTGAATGTGGACCCGGATTTACCCCAACACATTCACACTTGTGTTGAATACTTCGATCTCAATTTAATCCAGATCTTTTACAGTGCTAATGTGAATCAAAATACTGTTCATTCAAAACCGAACTCAATCTTATTTAATGGGGGTGAGGAAGCTCTAGGATATTAGAGAAGCTCTTTTATTCTTCTGCGAAATTTGAACAGTAAAAGTAAAGATATTAAATTCATGGTATTAATGTTGTTTTTATTGTTATTATTTTAAGTTCTTGTTTGTACATGAATAAGATTACATAAAACAATGTACAATAATAATGTTTAGTAGTGAAAAAATTATTTAATATTAATGATCTATGTTTTTTTTCTTAATTAGTATTGTGATTTATTGTACTAGATATTGTAAGAATATTTATTTATTAAATTTAAATCTATAATATTTTCTTTGTTTCAATATTAAAATGATTTTTTTTAGATTAAAAGAAAGAATTAGAAAAAAAAAAAAAAAGATAAAAATAAATATTAAAGTGCATCTCTTAAATTTTTGAATGATGTTTCTTTTCAAAAAAAAAAAAAAAAAACTTCTTTTATTTTATTGAAAAAAAAATTAATAGTCTTTGCTATGTACCAATTTCAATCTTTGTAATATTTTTATTTTTTGCAATATTTGGTGGTTTGTCAAGACCTTTGATGTAGATACAAATACTTGCACTTTTGCTATATTATAGTTCTTTTTTTCAATCATCTATAATTTTTCTATTTTTTTGGTATTTATGCTTAACAATTTTGAGTCATTTCTAAATTAATGATTTAAGTTGTTTGTTTTTTGTTTCTACTTTAGCATTATTAATTTTTACTAAACCAAATTCATTGATTATTTCTTTATTTTTTCTATTATATAATTTTTTTTATAATTTTTTTTAATAATCTCATACTCTACTTAAAAGAAATATAAAGATCAAGAGCATCTAATTTAAAATCACAAATACCAAATGTAATAGATTTCTAGTTTAGTAGAATCTAAAATTAAGATTATAAATTTTTGTGAAAATATTTTGATAAATTAACTTTTCTTTATAATTCTCTTTGTTTAGTTGTTTGGTTTTCATATATGTCTAATAAAACAACTTTTATTGCAATGCATAAAGATAATATAATAAAAAAAAAAATCTTGCTAGTAAAAATAATTATAATAGAATTTTAAGCCAAAAGTAATATCTTTAATAAAGATCTATGGATCTTAGATTATAGGACTCTTATAAATAAGTAAGATTGAAGTTATGAGACATTATTATTAAATTTATTATCTGAGAGTGTTGTAGGAGATTTAGATAGTGTACATTTTCTTAATGACAGTTTATGGACTTACAAAAGAATGGTTTACAAGATAATGATTGACTTGTAGATCTTATTATGTTTAAAGTCTACAAATTATATTCATAATGTATTTGTAATATATTCATTGGATCAAAAGAACTTAAAGATTCAAAGATATTTTTTGAAGTTTTCAATAGGTTAGAAGCTTTATATATTTAAGAATTTTATCTTTCTACTCAAATTCTTTAAAAATGTGATTAAAAACTGCTTTAGAAGATTCTTCAACATCCTATCTATGACCATCTATTTAAATTTTGTTCTTTATATCTAGAATATAATGGATTTGTTTTATACCTTATTGAAGATATTTAAATAATATTATTTTGTAAATAAAGACATAAATATTAGGCTATATATTTCCATCTAAATCAACAAATCTAAGATTTACATTATTAAGAATGTGAATTTTAAAATATTTTTTAAAAAATACACTTATGCATTACCAATAAGTAAGAAAGTAAACAAAGAAGAAATAAAGATATAAGAAAAAAAAAAAAAAAAAAAAAAACTAGAATGTCTATTTCTAAATGGAAATAAACTATAGAGTCTTAAATAAAAAAAAATGCAAAAAAAATATTAATAAGTGAATATAACCTTTAGCCTGCTTCTTTCTATATATATATAAATTATTAATAAGACCTTATAGTAGCTTCTTAAAGATTATAAAGTTTATAGTCCAAACATCTCTATATTAGCTTTTTATATATAAAACTTATGCAAAATAAATTTTAATAATACTATAATATATTTATAAGAATCTAAAGATTTAATATGTTTTTATAGAAGATTTTTAAATATTTCTTGATAAAGGTATTATTTATATAACATATTTTTATTTAATTCTATATATTTCTATTTTATTAAATAATACATATATCTATTATATGCACAACTTTGGTTTTCTCAATAATTATCACAAATATACATATTTATTCTAATATTTATCTATATGATTAAATAGAAGTAGATAAAAGTAGATTTATTTCATAATATTTTCTAGACAAGCTTCTTAGAAGCTTTATAGATGCTACTTTGATTTTACATATATTTATAATTAATTAGTAGGTTAGAAACTTGACCAACAACTTAACCACATGTTGGTAGCTTATAAATCAAGATAACTATGTGGTGTACATATAAAAAACTTGCCTTGTAAATTAAGCTATTTATTTTGTAAAGTTATATTTTGAAAATCCTATAGGACATCGTCATGTAGCTTCTAATTAAAAGTATGTATGAAAGCAAGAGTGAAGCCTTTTTTCACTCTTGCTTTCATATATACTTTTAATTAGAAGTTATGCCTTACTCTTGTCAATGCTATTCTAGTCCTTAGTCCGCTCTCAAGACTTTTTAGTCTTTTTGTCTTTAGTAATAGTCAATTTAATTTAATACTATACTATTCTTGAGTGATTTTTTAGTCTTTTTGAGTCACACAAGAGTGTATTGAGGTTATTTATTTATTTATTTATTTTAAGATTTATGCCTTTGATTATTTGATAAGAGTGCTAACTCATTGTTCTTACCTTGTTTTAGAAGTGAGTGAATTACTCCACTTCTATTGTTGTCTTTTGAAGGTTATGGATTACCCACCTTCAAACAAACTGTTTAGTTTTCCAACATTGATATCTTCCTTAGAGAGAATAAATTATCCTTCTTTGTAGAAATTTTTATTTAATATTAGAGGTTGTAGATTTCCACCTCTAATTTGACTTATAGACTTATTAAGTTGTTTTAAAGGGAAGTAAACATCATCGATGCTATATTTGATAGAAGTGAGAATAAATTTGTAATTATTATTAATCTTCAAGAATTTTTCAATACTTATAGGGTAGAAATTTCATGCATCATGAGCGTCAACCAAAAAAATACTAATCTTTTGTATATAAAAGAAGTTTAGAGTCTATATCAAGAAGTTGTACAATTAAAGAAAGAAAGTAAACCAACTTCAAAACTAAATCCAAGAAATTTTGTTTCTACAAGTATAAAAAGGATAAAGATTAGTATGCCCAAGAAGTTTGATGGAACAAAATCAAAATTTTGAAGATTTTTACAATATGTCAAGCTTTATCTGAGGTTGCATCCCTTCCAATATCTTGATGGATTTACTTAAGTTAGATTCATAGGTGCTTTTATTTAGAAGTTTTCTTTCTTGATTTATATCTTTGATGGAAAAAGATTCAAGACTCTTTTATGATTTGAATTCATTGTTAGAAGTATTTATGGCCTTATTCAAAGAAAGTAATTAGAAAAGAGTAAGAAGGACTAAACTTTTATTTTTATGGAAAGAATCACAATTAGCTATCATATAAGTTGTTGAATTTTAAAACCTCACTTACGACATGGATTGGAATGACAAAGCCCTCATCAATCAATTTTGATATAGATTGAAGGATAATGTAAAAGATTTATTATTGATAATACCAAAAGCAAAATCTTTGAAATAATTTATTGTTTAAGCCATCACATATGACAATTGATTATTTGAAAGGCATTAATAACAAAGACTTGGTTGGAGAGGAACAAAACAAGTAATGATGATAGCTCCGAAGTTTTCAAAAAATTATTTAGCAACGCAAGAATCAATGCAAATTAATATGTTACATTTTAGATCCTTCATTGAGCAAGAAAACTTAATGTTGTCAAGAGAGTTTGTGCTTATAGTGTGGAAAATCTAAGCATAGTACTCAATATTGTCCAAAGAAGCAATACAATGACAAAATGAGGAGCACAATTGCTAAAAAAGACAATGTGTCAAAAAAATAATTTTTTCTAACTACAATAAGGACTATACATTTGGAATCAATTACAACACCAAGTAAAGGTCTTATTCTCTCCTTAGATCTTTTATCTTATTTTACAATAGATGTGTATTTAGGTCTTAAAAATCAAAAAGTCTTTGCATTATTAGATTCAAGAGCCTTAGCCCATTTTATAGATAAAGTCTTTGTTAAGAAACAAAAAATATTTTTAGTCAAAAAAAATAAATCCATACATATAGAAGTCATAGATGGTTGTTTGTTGTCTTTTAGAGACATTACTCATGATATTATTCTTTTAGATGTAGCAATTAAAGATCATAATAATATAATAATATTTAATATAGTAAGATCTCTCTATAATATATTTAATTTATGATTATCATGGTTAAAAAAATATAACCCTTAGATAGATTGGATTTCTTGTAACTTTAACTTTTCTTATAATTTAATCCAAAATTTTCATAGTGAAGTAGAAATAAATAAGCCTAGTACATCCAAATCCTTATTGATAGGTATAAGAGCTTCATACATGTGGCAAAAGAAAGGCGATCTTTTGATATATATGCCAAATTTATTTTTAATGGTAGAAAGATATCAAATGGTATTTCTAGTCAATATCAAAATTTCTAATATATTTTAAAAAATAAGAATGCAGATATTCTTTTAGAGCATCAATCTTATGATTACTTAATGGATCTACAAAAAGGAAGTCAATGTCCATTTAGTCCAATCTATAGCTTATTATAAGATGAGATCTTACACAAAAAGAGTATATTAATAAGAACTTGGCTAAAAATTTCATATA